AAGGAGAGAGAGAGAGAGCGAGACCTCGCGGAGAAGGAGGAGAGAGAGAGAGAGGAGAGAGAGCTCGTGAGTTAGTAGAGAGAGATAGAGAAGAGAACCGCTGAGAGAGTGAGAGGATGGAGGAGGAGAGAATTAGAGAGAGAGAGGAGAGAGTGAGATGAGAGAGAGAGAGAAGAGAAGCGAGAGAGAGGGGAGCGTGAGAGAGAGAGGAGTGAGAGAGGAAAAGAAAGAGAGAGCGAGGAGACGAGAGAGGAGAGGGAGAGGAGAGGAGGAGAGGGAGAGAGAGCGAGTGGAGAGGGAGAGAAGTGAGAGAGAGAGAGAGGAGAGGAGAGAGAGAGGAGAGAAGAGGCTGAGCGAGAGAGCGAACAGAGGGGGGAGGAGCAGTGTAGGAGGGAGGGAGAGGAGGAAAGAAGGAAAGGGGAGGAACGAGAGGGAAAAAGGAGAGAAAAAAGAGAAAGGGAGAAGAGGGAGAGAAAAAGCGAAAGGGAGACAGAGAGAGGAGAGAAAGAGAGAGAAAGAGAGAAGAAAGAAAAGAGAAAAAGAGAAGAGGGGAAAGAGAGAAGCCGGAGAGGAGGGAGAGGGGAAAAAAGAAAAGAGGGATGAAAGAGGAGCAAGTGAAGCCAAGAGAGAAGGAGGAGAGAAAAAAGAGAAGATGAAAGCGAAAGAGAGAGAGGGAAGAAAGAAGAGAAGAAAAGACGCAGGGAGGAAAGATGAATAGGAGAAAGGAAAAAAGAAAAGAAAGAGAGGAGAGAGAAGGAGAGAGAGAGAGAGGGAGGAGAGGAACGAAAGGTGGAAGGGATGAGGCGAGAAGAGAAGAGGAGGAGGGGATAGAAAAGAGAGGAGCGAGAGAGGAGGGGAAAAAAGGGAGAAAGATGCGGGGAGAGAGAGGAAAGAAAGAAAAAAGAGAGAGGAGCGAGAAAGAGAAAGCAGGGAAGAGGGAGGAGAGAGAGGAAGGACTGGAATTGAGCGAGAAGGAAAAGTGAGAGAGGGAGGAGGAGAGAGAGAGGAAAAAAGAGAAAAAAAAAGGAGAGGAGAAACAGAGGAGAGGAGAGAGGAGGAGAGGAAAGGGCAAAAGGTAAAAGAGAGGGGAGGGAGAGAAGGAATGGAGTGGGGGAGAAGGGAGGAGAGAGGGAGAGAGAGAGAGAAAGAGTGGGGAGAGAGAGACGGTGAGGGAAGGAGGAAAAGGAAAGAGGAGAGGAGAAAAAAGAGAGAGAGGAGGGAGAGAGGGGTGAGGAGAAGTGAGAGAGAAGAGAGAGAGGGAGAGAGGGAGAGAGAAGAGAAAGCTGGAAGAAGAAATGAGGAGAGAAGCGAGGAAAGAAGAAAGAACAGGAAAGAGGAGAAGAGAAGAAGAGGGAAAGAAAAGAGAGGAAAGAAAAGAGAGAGGAAAGAGAGGAGAGGAGAGAGAAAGAGGGAGAGACGAGGAGAGAAAGAGAGAGGTGAGATAGGAAGAGAGAGAAAAGGAGGCAAAGAGAGGGGGGAAGAGAGAGAGAGAAGGGAAGAGAGAGTGAAGGAGAGAAGAGGAGAGAGAGGAGAGAAGGAAGAAGAAAGAGAGCAAAAGAAAAAAAAAGAAGGATGCGAGAGGGAAAAAGATGGAGGGAAGAGGAGGAAAAAGAAAAAGAAAGAGAGATGAGAGGAAGAGGAAAAAGGAGAAGAGAGAAATAAGAGGAGAAAAAAGAGAGGAGGAGAGAGAAAAAAA